AGAAAAATTAATTCCAGCGAAAATGAAGTATTTGCTTTGTTTTATGTTTTTCAATGAGTATACGTGCGGTTAAATGACCTCGGATGTTTATTAGCAGCTTTGCACACATAAGCAAGAGTTGAATTGATGTTTCATCATTCAAATTGGGAGCTAATTCTGACCAATATGTCAGAGCAACTCGGTCAGCTAAGACTGACTCTGTAACAGATTCATGGATAGATTCACTTTGTCCGGAATGAAGATATACGCGGATAAAGTGTTCTGCGAAAAAAAAGATACGCCTTGTCATTGATTGGAAAAAGGCTGGCCACCGCGATTTTCTTTGTTGACCCACTCGGTAGTATACTCAAGAAATATTGGTGAATCCATTCCAGTTGTCTTCATTTTTGATAGTGTTTGAAGCATAGGTTGGAAGACATGACTGTAACGACATCGCAGAAGCTGTTTTGACAGAGCCATTGGTATATAACCACAGGCATATCTCAACACATTTTCTTCAATTTTGCTCATTTTGATGGCCTCACTGTTATCATCTAATTCAATCTTTTCACGTCTTAGTAATAATGTTTCAAAAAGGACTCTGGCAATACTCATTAATAAAACTGTAGATTCTGGGGCGTTTACTTTTCTAAGCAGCAATTTTATGTTCTGTCTTAATTCTGATGACAACCTTACATGATGAAATGCACTGAACATTGCCTCTCTGCGACTGTTGCGAAGACGTACATTGTCATCAGCAGTTATTGCTGGCCATAAAACAATAACAACAGATTTAATTTCTTCTTCAATATCACAGACTCCCTTAAGCAATTGTGTTACTGCATCCATTGTCTCTGCAACACCAGACAAAATTTTGCTGTGTAGGATTTCATTAGATTTAAATTTTGTAACTGCTCTCATAAACAAGGTCCTTTGCATCTATCATGGTATCATCAAGCGTGTATTTTGGAACTGGTAATGTCTCTGTGAATTAAATTTAAACAAATATTTACCATTAGAAATATATAGAAGAAATAATTCCTCAGCAGATTTGAGTGTTAAATTGCTGACACTTGTAGTACCGGTAATACAGATCACAACTTACAAAAAATACTGACCTTTCATTGTACTACTGAAGGCATTGTCAAGAAAACAAATCAACTGCTTGAAAAATATTTGTTGGTGATATTAAATTATCTGATTCAATGTTATCATTTTGTAGTTACTTTGTTACAAAGTTCCACCTTACATCACATCAGTTTGTATATACTGGTACTTCAATACATTTAGTAGTATCAAGACCCATTCGCTCCAGAAGAATAGATGACATTATTTTATACGGGTTACAATATTTTTACCATCATGGTGTGGGAAAATCAATAACTAGGATCAGTAACTTACCTTCCCTTTTCTTTCGCCCAGTGGTTGTTTTATTTTTGTCAACACTCTCTATATTTACTGGCATATCCTCTGGCCCTGGTTAAAAAAAAACTTAGGACGTACTTTACAACAAAATTAGTACCAGTGAATAAGGTTAATAATAATATACTATAACATTATTCATGTCGATTAATTGTACACAATCTGCATACACGAAAGTACATAGAAGCAGGAAAACTTCTCTCCATGTTTCGCTTAATAAAAGCTAGTTCATACATTTAGGAGCACACTGTGTCCTGTTTAGTCACAATCCATTAACACCCCGCACTTTAAGAACATTTTGGACAAAAACGAAACCTTTTCAATTGAGAAGTAAATCGCGTTCGGCCATTCCATTGCAACATTACTAGTACTTCATCGCACTGAAAAAACGTTCCAAAAAGCAAAAATACAACACTTACCCAAAATTTTATGAACGTTAACAAGATGACTTTTGCATCCCTGTTTTGATTTAAACTCCTTGTTGCATGCACTGCATTTGAACTTCTTGTCGGAATCTAATTCACTTTCCACCATAACGATGTGCGCGTCTAGATATTTTAGATCACGTCTAGTTTTCGTTAACCCAATGGTAACATCGGTAATTTCTTCATCAGTATCGCTAACATCATCTGATTCTTCCGATTTACTCCAATCACTCTCATGAAAGTCATCCAAATATTCAAAAATGTCATTAAATTCTTCACAAGTACCGGCACACACTTCTTTCGAAAAGGACGCCATTTGTAAATAAACTGTGTCATTTGCATAATCACGCTGTGAAAAACAAGAGTTGACGCGGGATTCTGCGGGATTTAAGGACTTTTCTCTGACGTCATTGCAAAAACAGGGCCGGATTAAATAGCGACAGGATGTCCAACATCGGGATTTTCAACCCGCTACTTTAATCCTTCTAACGGTCACCAACATACGTGAGATCAATGAAAACACCGCAGTTGCACGTCTCTCTTTTTCTAGTGTCTTTGGTTTAAGATAGTTTAAAAATGTTTATTTAAATAAGTGTAAAAATATAAATGTAAAAATCCTTTTACATTTTACAGGAAGGAGACTAGTTATGCCGTACATTGGGGAGGCTGATATTTCATACTTCGTAGAGGAGGATTCGGAGGGTTCTTAGTGGTTTATTACAGAATCTGATGGTATATTTGGTCCCAAGGGATATGATGTGGACAATAACAAATTAAATTGCATTACCATGAATGATGTTTATTTCGTGTTAGAAAATATACATTGGTTAAACAGTGTGTATACTAGGATATTGTAATGCTGTACATCTACGACACTGGTTAACATAGAAAACCCGATCAGGGGGATAAACATTACGGCTAAGCTTTTATCACTGTTTTCAAGTGGACATGTTTCGCTCGAGCTGAATGAGCCAGTTGCATGACGCATAAGCTGAATGAGCTTGATTCACATTCGGTAAGGGGTGCGCGCTCCTATGACGTGGCATGTGTTTGTCAATTGATTTGTCAATTTGTTTTTGTTTTTTTTTATTTTGCGGGCTCAAAGTGGAGGCGCCTGGCGTGCCTACCCTAAATCCGCCCTAGATTGAATTGAGCCGAATCCACGATGTTCAGTCCCGATAAATCGTCGGGTTGTTTGAAACAAATGGGACCAGCCGATGTGTAAATTGACTCAGGAAAACGCCTCATTTCTCAAACAAACATTTAACAAGCCACCAATTGTTGATTTGCGGAGGCGGAGCAGTGACCAGAATAATAACGTACATGATAGCTGTTACATGCCGTCGGACGCACACAAAGGGTACATAACAATGCGGGAACTACCACGAAATCCTGTCTTACCGAGCTATGGACCCTCTAACACGACGATT